AGCAAATATGACTTGATGGCATCGAAAAAATCATTTCAAAAAATTTAGACATCCAGCAAGAAAGCCAAAAAAATCTATTTTGTGCTCTTTGTTAACACGTTCCATCTTTCATCGAATCTCTTCCGAGAGCTCAAAGAAAATTTTGATAAATTGGAGATACAGCATGATAAAAACTATAGGTTTTGGTGGTTATCTTAGCTATAAAAATTTTGGCGGTTATTTTAGCTACACAAGAGCAACTATATAGGAAACAAGACTACAAAAGGGAAGAGAAGCCGCGGATAGTGCTCAAAACGTCTGCCTAATTTTATCACGTGTTTTGATGGTAGCTTGAAAAAAATGGAATAACTTCTGCAACAACCTTTGTTGTCAAAAACGGAAGTGTAGCATTTTCGTGAAATCGTTGTGTGTAGATTATTTTAAGTTACGCTATAGATACGGGAGAAATCTGGACATTTGTAAGTCCTAATCTTTGGCTTCATAAGAAATTAGTTTATGTACGCTTATGTTTATAAGGACTGTTCTCGTTTACGGTTTGTGTTGTGATACACAATGGCCCGTAGTAAAGTTCGATCAGTTGAGGTGAACTCAACTTAACCCATCAGTTCACCGCACGTGAGGTGAACTGATGACCGCCCACCCTACCATGCTATAAGAATGGCCAGTGAACTGATAGTTGACGATCTGTCCACCTGCTGCAGTCAACTCTTCCACATCAGTTCACGTTCAAATCACCTCAACGTGAACTGATGTTAGAGTGATCCAAATAGTGTGTAGAAGAGGAGACGCAGACAAAACTCCCGTAAGTTGCTCCTGAGTAACTTACGATACACATGAGTTAGGCAAAAAATGCAGACAAAATCGGCGCAAAACTCACACTTTTCCTCGGCGGCGTGCTTGTGAAAATTTTGGGACATTTGTGTTGTTTTTCAAACGATTTCGTTCACTACTCTTGTTTTTTTGTCGTTCCCATGTCTGCAGCAGAGAGTGTTTGCCATGCTTGCGGTATTTCGAGGAGAAGCTTTTGCCCCAGAAATGCATTATTTGTTTCGATTTGAGATGAATTTGATCCAAAAGCTGACGCTTGCTTTACTTTCGTTATGTGTAAATGGCTCTCATAATTTGACATCTGTACCCTTTTGTCACCAATGCACTTTCAAGAGATGAATGTTCATGTTTTGAAAACCATCCTGCTACAGTAGTTGCACTCGATTCTATATACAGTCGAGTAGATTTCCTGCTTAATATAGTGTACCTGCAGACGCGGCAACGCTGGGGCGTCAATAATTGCCTGGCGAGTTCCCGAGCTAGTGTTTTCCAGTGTTTTCTTTGCTTATTCTATGCTTTTTAAGTGATTCATTGCTGATAAAGAAGAAAAGGGCAAGTTAGAGAGTAATTTGTGTTTTCTGAGACGTTCTATCATCGCATATTCACAGATATCCACGTGGAAGCAGTTCGCATCAGCTTCTTGTCTATTTTTTTGTCACTTCATGTTTCTTTCTCTTTGTGAGGTATTATACTTCTTTGAACGCTAAGGGTTTTTACGATTGACTTGTTGTCTTTATCACATGAAGTACTTGATTAAAATGCTATTTCTAATGGACAAAAGCCGAAGTTGCTGCAAGACAAGCCAACTAGCGTTCAAAGAAACGCCTCACAAGAAGGAGGAGGTTTGAAAGAAGAAGTGACAGAAGAAAAGGAAATAACAAAAAAATAGACAAGAAGCTGACGCGAAATGCTTCCACGTGGATATCTGTGAATATGCGATGATAGAACTTCTAAGAAAACAGAAACTACTCTTTAATTTACCCTTTTTCTCTTTATCAGCAACGAATCAACTAAAAAGCATGAAATAAGCAAAAAAACACGGAAAACACCAGCTCGGGAGCTCGCAAGGCATTTATTGACGCCCTAGCGTTGTCGCGTCTGCAGGGACACTATATTAAGCAGGAAATCTACTCGACTGTACTACTTTATTTTTCAATCATTCCTCATTTACATCAACTTGGACTCATTTCACTTGGTTATCCCAAAATCACAAAGTAATCCATCCCCTCGTAGCTGATTTCTTTGAGGGCACATCTCGTCTTTTAGTTGAATTCTGCGTTGTTGTGTGCAGGTAAAAGAATGCATCATCATCAGTTCACTCCTGCTAAGAGCCATACTTGTATTTGGGAAACGACGAAGATTTTTCCAAAAAGTACAGTGAAGTTGATTTTCTGCTTAATATAGTGCCGCTAAAAACGCCGACACTCTCGTGCGTCAGGAATTGCCATTGCGAGTTCTCGCGTGTGTGTTTTAGTGTTTTCTTGCTCATACTTTGCTTTTTAGGTTAACTCTTTGCCGGTAAAGGAGAATAAGGTAAGCTAGAGAGTATTTCCTAGTTTCCAAAATGTTATGTTTCGCTTATTCCCAAGTATCTACGTGGAATGTCATCGTGTCTGTTTCATGTGTATTTTCTTGTAACTTTACCCCTTTTTCTCTTGCGAACCATTTCTTCAAAGGTTAGTAGGTTTTTACGTTTGAATTATCACCATATGTGCGAAGGCCTGAAGATGGTTACCCTCCAAAGTGAAGGGGGTCTAGGCTGTTTTTGACCCTCAAAAGTGAAGGGGGTCCAAAAATTGCCGACGTCGACCGGGGGGGGGGTAGAATTGAAAAAAATAAATTTTCAATTTTTCAACTTTAGTTTTTTTCAATTTCAATTTCAACAATTTTCCAATTTTTATTTGATTTCAAATTTTCTAAATTCATTTGTATAAATTTGAACATTCTTAGTAAAATGTTTTCAAATACTTTTTTGATAAATATCGTCTCATTATCATGTAACATAATGCGGGAAACGAAGCAAAAATCGGGACCGGACCCCCTCACTGAGACGAAGCAGGTGCTGAGGTGAGAAAATACTTAGTTTGCAGTTGAGATATCGTATTTGAGAAATCTAATTTTAAGAATTTCATGGAACGGGCTGTAATGAGTCGGATGGAAAGGCGCATAGTCATGAAACGAATGGCTGGAGTGGAGCCTTCATGTAGGCATGTTGTATGAGACTCGGAAAAAGACATTTTGTGGTTGTACTGTGGCTATTGTGTATAAGGATAAACGATAAATGGAAATGTTGTACACAATCAAAGAGTAGATAGTGAGTAAGGTTTGGTTGAGGCAGGTTTGAGCTGCCAACTATACCCCCCTTCGAGCCAAAAAATTCCATATCTCGGTAGGGGGGTCCTCTCATAATCTGATTTCTTTTTTATCTTGTCGAGAAGAGTGTACTGGATATAACTAGGGCTGTCGCAAAAGAATCTGCTGAAGCAGACCTTCTTGGGCTTGTATTTCACACAAAAATCTATGCGTCTTCAACTCGGTACTGTTGCTCTCCTTCCTTAGAGCAGATCCTTTTGCGACAGCCCTAGTTATATCCAGTACACTCTTCTCGACAACATAAAAAAGAAATCAGATTATGAGAGGACCCCCCTACTGAGATATGGAATTTTTTGGCTCGAAGGGGGGTATGTTGGCAACTCAAACCTGCCGCAACCAAACCTTACTCACTATCTATTCTTTGATTGTGTACAAACATTTCCATTTATCGTTTATCCTTATACACAATAGCCACAGTACAACCACAAAATGTCTTTTTCCGAGTCTCATACAACATGCCTACATGAAGGCTCCACTCCAGCCATTCGTTTCATGACTATGCGCCTTTTCCATCCGACTCATTACCGCTCGTCCCATGAAATTCTTAAAATTGGATTTCTCAAATACGATATTTCAACTTTAAACTAAGTATTTTCTCACCTCAGCACCTGCTTCGTCTCAGTGAGGGGGGTGGGGGGGGGGGGGAGGGGGGGGGGTCGGCCCGATTTTTGCTTCGTTTCTTGCATTCTCGTTCCCTACCCTCTGTAAATAAATTGTTCTACCTTAGATTCTACTCCACTTCAAGCACACTATTATCTCACTCAAAAAAAAAATTTTTTTTCCTCCGTTCAAAGGTGGGGGGGGGGGGGGGAGTGGCCCAGGCCAAAGTGAAGGGAGGGTGAGATTTCATCTCAACCCTTCGCACCTATGAGGCAAAACACTCGGAATAAGCGATGATGTAAATGCTTGAAAACAGAAACTAAACTCTAACTTACCTTATTCTCCTTTATCAGCAGAGATTTAGCTAAAAAACAAAGAATGAACAAAGAAAACACTAAAACACACACGCGAGAACTCGCAATGGCAATTCCTAACGCGTAACTGTTGTCGCCTCTGCAGGGACAGTATATTAAGCAGGAATTCCACTCGACTGTAGACATCAAACTTCCGAGTATGAATGTTTGATACATACCTCGCTGCTTAGGTATGGACAAAGCGACGAGCAGCGAAGGCAGCTTTGCTCCGGCTGATCAGCGCTGCAGTCGGGTGCTTCTTGAGTGCTAGTTGTGCTAAACCAACTACAAAAACTGCGCTGTCGTCAAGTATTATGATGTCCTAAAACGAGGGATATTAGCATTTGAGCCGGATCTGGAGTCCTGATCAGCTTGAGCAGCGCTGCGCAGCGATGAAAACAGATAAAACGAGATAGGACAGTACCATGATCAAAGATGTCCAATCCAAGAAGGATAGTGACCCCGTCAAACTTCGCCAAAAAAGCGCAAAAGTACCCAAAAATACCAAAAAGCTCAAAGGGGCTAGAAGGAGGCGTAACGCTTTTTGTAGCTGGTAGAATGTTGACGTAATTTTGAGGTGCAGATCACAGAAAATGAAGCAAAAGGATTTGGTTGCGAAATTAGCATACAATGCCATAGCGCCGATACTTACGCACGAAGAGGGCCTCGGCTGTTTCCCGCCCTTTTGGGCTTTTAAGGCGCTCTGAGTTTTCTTCTGCGGAGTATGACGGGTTCCATAAGGTTAACGTATAAACAAATGTAATACCATCGTAAACAAGAGAGTGAGCATTACGAAAAGTGGAAGATCAATGTGAGATCAAAAAGAACTAATGTGATTGAACTTACAACATTTTCGCATTTCGGACTAATCTTTTGCAGCTTATAACAGATGTTCATGAAGGCCTTTCCACTTCTTCATCTGGTTTGAGTGATTCCGCCAACATCCTAGAAAATAGCACCAACTTCAATCTTCTGCGCCATAGAATGATGAAAAGACAAGAACTTTGCGTACCTAATCATGGTGGTTTTTCCTGTTCCGTTCTCTCCAATCATGACAATAATGTCAGAGTCGGAGAAATCACCAGCTTCTACATCTAACTCGAAAGAGCCAAGTTTCTTTGATATAGCTGGATACTAAAAGCAAAAGATATTTGCGCTTGTATAAACGAAAAAAGCAGAGAATACTCAGATTATAAACATAACTAAGGACGTGATAGCTTGAAATTTCCTGTGCTTTTGATAACTTCATCACTCTGCTCAGAAACCTTGAAGGTCAGGTTATCATCACTGAAATAGAAAATGCAGTAGTGTATATGATATATCAAGCCTTACAGGAATTGCGTGTTTTCAGTGCGAATAAATCCATTCAATCCATTCATCTTGATGCCTTCCCGTACTCCTGATGGCAAAGTTACTACGCCGTACACTCCAGGCACGCCGTATAGGCAGCAAATAATGTCAGAGAGATAGTCCCAAAACGGCAAGATCGTGTTCCAGAACGATCACGTATCTAAACAAACCTCATATTAACGCCTTAAACCATCTCAATGGCCGTGCCTCGGTAGAATTTCGATCTTCAGCTTTCCACTTTTTAAAGCCTTCTCGTCATGAGGAATCCATATCTGGTCTTTTCAGCGCATGAAAAAGGCAAAATTGACTTTTTTCGAAGCTTTTCAAATTCGCAGTCAGTGAAGATACGCCGGAAATCTTTCCCGCCCCACCTCCCTCGTTCCAGGCCTCTCCCCTTTACAGGTGTTCCCATTGAATGCGAAAGCTTCGGAAAAAGTCATTTTCGCCATTTTCATGGCGAAAGTAACGAAAATATGCATTCCTCTTGCCGAAAGGCTCGGAAAAGCTGAAAAACTGGAAAACGAAATTCTGCCTTCTGTTATATTAGTGCATCTTTTGACAGATTGTTTTCTATCATGAGTTATTGGCAGTCAATAACGAATGCTAATTAGAGCGGGCTTCTTTTGACTGTTTTCTTTATTCATGAGTTATTGCCAATCAATAACCGTCTAATTAGTGAAGCGCGACTGTCATACCCCGGGGACAGACGCCGATGAGAGATCGGAGTCTTAGAGATAGAGAGGGGCGTGGCCCAAAGGCTCTCTGGGGATCGATTTGGACCCTGTGGAGTGGGTGTGGCCACATATACCCAGGGGACAGACGCCGATGAGAGATCGGAGTCTGAGAGATAGAGAGGGGCGGAGCCCTAACTAAGGTGGTCCATGTCTACAATTTGAGCCTAGATTATTCAGTCTCATCTGTTGCACTCACCAAGTTTGGTGGTGCTCTCGTCTAACTTCTTCTTTGTTCTATATTATTTCCTCGTGTCAAGTAATCTTTTGTAATAAAGATTATTTAATCAGTAGTGTCTGTTGATCACATTTGAAATTGTCGTTGTTTCGACAAGTATCGCGAATAGCGAACTAAGCCATATAAGAAACCGACTTGGGGGCCGAGCCGGTGATCAACTTACACGACTGATTCTTGTTGTTGCGGAATTCCAAAAATGGATTCATTCATGGAGCAACCCCAAACAAGCGGACACGCCACGCCAGCACCACACATCCCCACAAGCCAGGACAACTCGTTGAGTAACTGGAATTCACTGGAAGTGAATGATAGTCAAATCGATAGGATATTGACTTTTATGGGGGATTTGTTGGATAGCCAAATTAGGCATCTCTCACGCTCGAAGCGAGATCAGATAATGATTTCGATGCGCGAGAGGTTGCAAGTTGACCTCGAAGGGAACTTGGGCCATAAGGGTAACTCGCACTCCACTCTTTGTGAAAAATTCCAAATGAGTGTTGAGGAATTGCTTGAGTATATACCTATGGCCAGTTCCCATAGCCAGATGGTAGTGAGGTTAGGGGCTAGGCTCGGATGTGATTTTGATGACGTAGAGTCAGTGATCGAAGGCAAATTAAAGATTGTCACAGAGTTAGAGAATAGGCTAGAGGTCCTGCGCTCTGAAGTAAAGCAGGAAGCTTTAAGAAGCGCAAAGAGGGAAGAAGCCTTATTGGCACGGATAAAAAGGCGTCAGGATCTAGGAGATTCCTTGCCTGGACCCTCGCAGGCAGAGCCTATGTTTATGGAGACTCCGACGGGACCCGATGTACGTCGTAGAGATGAGAGTTGGCGTGCTGTGCGTGAACAGTACAGGTCACTCAAAAAGCTAAGCGTTGAGGATAACCTCCGCGATGCACCCCGATGTCACGCAAAGGGCGCTGAATGGCGTGAATGTCGACAGCGAATGTCGCGCTGTTCGTCAAGTACCTCTTTGAGAAGTTCTCCGTCAACGTCGACGATCGGTGAGTCCGTATCAGTCATGAGCGGTAACAATGGCAATGACCACTCAGAGCGAGCTACTGCAGACATATTTAGTATGTTCAGAGAGGTATTTAAGGCACAGAGTGTTGCCAGCGTACCCAACTACACAGGGAAAAATTCCCTCAGCGACTTCCTACGAGCTCTGGAAGTGAAATTCCCGCCAACGGTGTGGCAGGATGCCGATCGTAGAGATATCTTGATCAATCATTTGGAAGGCACAGCCAAGGCGGTTTATAGAACTTTACCGCGAAGTGTGCGGGAAGGTAGCTTCAAGGATTTAGTGGGAGCACTTGAGCTGGCACGCAAGAATCCCTGCGATCGCTTGAAGAATATCAGAGAATGGGACACGCTTTCGAAAAGAAGTGATGAGAGTGTGGTAGAGTTCTGCTGCCGTATGGAAGACCTCTCTAGGAGAAGACATCCTAGCTGCGAATGGGACTTCATACGCGGGTCCAAGCTGTATTCATGCTTGGAAAGCTGGCAGGATTCGTACCATATGCTTGCTGCGTTAGACGCACCGGAAGGAAAGGTGTATGAGGCAGTCAAGAAGGTTGCCAGGAGGCTAGAAAAGCTTCAAGAAGATGTGGCAACGCACACGAACGACTTTCATGATCGTACCAGCAAGTTGAGTGACTATCACAAGAAAGCCAGATATGAGGGGGGCAGACCCTCAACGCGCAATAAGTGCTTCGAAAGTACAGATAAAGGCGCACTGAGATGTTTCTCGTGTGGTGAGGTTGGCCACATAGCCTCAAAATGTGGTAGAACCATGAGTGGAACGGTGGACCGTTTCCAACAAGAGAGCGGAAGCGGTGAAAGGTCTGATCAGTGTGGCAGCAATGCCGTAGGAGGGATAACCAGGGTTGAGCAAGAGGTCAGGCGCAAGGCCGCCAAATACGACCCCCCCCCCATGGCCGTGCTAGATACGACCCCCCCCCCCCCCTTCCCCCCCCCCCCCCCCGTAGCTCGCAGGTTTTTCTCTGTGTAAGATACCCGTCATACTTCGCCGAAAAAAGCCCAAAAGCGCCCAAAAAAGTCTGGAAAAGCCGAAAAAAAGCCCGGAAAAGCCCGCGCCAGAAAGAGCAGGAACGAACGCATAATGTTGGTTTCGCAACGAGTCTTTTTGCTCCATTTTCTGATGTCTGCACGTAAAAATAACGTTAAAATTCGACCATAATTTCGTTTCTGCTTTCCTGCTCTTTCGGGCTTTTTTGGGTTTTTTCGGGCTTTTTTGAACGCTTTTGGGCTTGTTTTCAATTCTTATATCACACATCATTATCAGAACATATTCATATTTATTAAACAAAAGAAATTTCAGATGTACCTTTTACATTCAGAAAAAAACTTTTACATACAGAAAAAAACTTTTACATAAGAAAAAAAACATCTTTTACCGAAAAAAACAACGCAACATTGACAAAAAAAACATCTCTACTGGATGGTGACGCTTTGAGTGCAGGGCTGGTCCTTGCATCTTCATTTTAGGCTCATCGCTTTACAGTCTTCGCAGACCTAGTCCTTTGACCTTACGACTTTGAAGAAGTGGCTCTGAACAAAAAAAATCTATGAGAAACTACCGGGTATAGAAGCGTACAAAAAAGGATGCTACCAAAACCTTGAGTAGCTTCTGCGCGTTAATTATTAAATGATTGCATTTTTAATTGAAGAATACCAGCAAAGTGGAAGAAAAAGATGTAAGCAAGTATCGATAGAGGATTAAAGGCAGCGTCCAGGCAGATCTGGACCTATGGGGCTTTTACGTGGAAAGTACTTTTGGGGCCCTAACTAAGGCACTGCCCAAGCGGCAGCTCAAGTAGTGCTGTAATGGCTGAGATATTCTCCTCGAAACTGGCCCCCGCGACCGTGTTTCGCATGGGTTCATGGCGCAAAGCGTGGATCCTGGCGCGAAACTGCCATGAATCCATGCGAATACGATCGCGGGGTCCAGTTTCGAGGGGAATATCTCAGCCGTTAGAGCACTACCTGCGCTGCCGCTTGGGCAGTGCCTTAGTTAGGGCCCCCATAGGTCCAGATCTGCCTGGACGCTGCCTTTAAGGATCAGATAGTTAACCCGAGGGTAGAAAAAAGTATAAAAATAAAAAGCGAGGGAAGTGTTAGCATTGCAATCTGAGCAACAAGCGTACTCAACAGTCAAATGTGAAATTGTGTCATTTAACAGAATTCAAAAAAATTTACCTCCCAGTTTCATCAACGGGGCATACAATTTTCATGTCCTTGGTGATGATTCCATTTTCAAGGCAAACTTGGTAGTCAATCTGGAAAAATCTGGTTGAGAATTCGTTCTACTCTGAGCGGCGATTACACAACGCAGATTGTCATATTATGTAAATCGCCTATACCTTTGCTTTGCAGTACCTTCATTGCAAAAGTTAGGTCGAGGTAAGCCAAAGCAACGTACAAGGAGACAAATACAGAATCGAATGTCATGCTAACCTCTCCAAAATATGGAGCTTGATGTACAATACCAGTTCCTTGATCTGTGGTGACAAATGTATTGCAAAGCCGCGGAACGCATTCCTCTCCTTTTTCATGTATGTGAAGTAAGGAAATAGCGGCTCATAGCTTTTTCCTTCAAATGTGCGCCCCTTGACCTGTAGACAATCTTGCTCAGTCACGAAAATATGGCGCCTTACTATAGCTGTTACCTTCTCCAAAACCACAAGGTTGTCATTCTTCAGCTCACACAAGCGTTCTTCCATAACCACATACTCAGCATCAGTTGCAGGATCTAAACAAGAGAGATGCGTCAAGATCCAGCATGTGAGCATTTTTCTGATTACGCTTGTTCTGAATTTATGACAGATTTGGCGCAAAGTTCACGTTTCGTTGTTTTTGCAATTCACGCGATATGACGAGTAAGAGGATCTATGCTTTGCGCAAAATACGTTATAGGGCACAAGTTATAAGTGACTATCATAATGTAAAACTTGAAACTGGTAAAAATCAAATTCATGGCAAAAGATACCTTTTACTATAAGGTAGTCCAAGTCAGGATGTAAACACAATGCGAGGTTACTGGGAAGAGTCCAAGGAGTTGTAGTCCATGCCACCATTAGACGCTTCGGGTTTTCATCGAGTCGGAACCCAATGCAGACTAAAACATGCACAGAACGGATACGGATTGCTGTTAGGAGAAAGCACCACGGATATTTGTTCGACGAGACAAATAAGAACCTACCAGCGGGATCCACAACATCTTTGTAATTCTGCCCAGCCTAAAAGTTCGAGAGAGGAGTAGTGCAAGAAGTAGAGTATGGCATCACCTTGAAATCGCGATTTACGATGAACATTTGAGCGCATTATCACCCACTTAATCTTATACTCGTATAAAGTTGAGATGATTTGATCTATGACTTACTTTTACGCCCCTGTAGACTAGTCCTTTTTTGAACAATTCGCTGAAAGCCCACCATACGCTTTCCATAAACCAAGGATAAAGAGTTTTGTAATCATTCTTGAAGTCAATCCAACGTCCCATGCGAGCAACAGTTGTCTCCCATTCCTGAAGTGAACCTTTAAGCTTCCAAAGAGGCAACAAAAGGGTATGACACAAAGCTGCAAGCAGTTAATACATCGCATAGACTAGTACTACAAATCGGCCCTGCCTAATAGGCGCTGAATCTTCAGGTTAGATGAGATCCATCAGTTACTAAGCTACGCTTGTCTTTCCCAAATAGACGACTCCCAAATGTTCGTTAAGACGAGAACTTAAGCTGAGTTCAAATGTTGACAGTGAGGTTCAGATCAAAAACATGATGGATTCGGAAGCACCAAACAATATGGATTCTGACAAAAGTTTTCTGTAGATCTTCGCAAGCAAAGCCAAACATACATGAGAATACCGCATGACGATACTTCGACATTCTGCGTTATACTTTCCAATTCCCATTTCTAGTATGTCATTAGGTCCCTTGACATCCAAAGTTTTGTCGACTTCATACTCCTGTAAGAAAAACATTTATATTCAGATATAAAAACAAATTATATGCTGAGATACGTGACGATTTACTCACAACGGGAAGTCCATGCGTGTCCCATCCAAATCTGCGCTCGACATAGAAACCATTTTGATGTGCCCATCTTGTTACCACATCCTGGGTGACGTGTTTTCGTACAAAACTCAAAAATAGAAGAAAATAGATTATCATCATTACCTTAATGGTTCCAGCAAGAATGTGCCCGTAATGTGGAAGGCCGGTATCGAAAGGAGGACCATCGAAAAAGGTATATCGTGGTCTGTCGGCTGATAATCTGAACAGTAAACATAGAGCGATAAATAAGGTGTACTCAAGCTTATTCAAGACATACTTGAGGGATTTCCCAAAAACCTTATTCTCATTCCAGCACTTCAAAGTTTTCTGTTCCTCGGCAGGAAAGTTGATGTTATCTGGGACTGTGGTGAGCCCACTCATTGATTACCTGAAAAAAAACTGAGTATTTATTACGCGTTGTACACATAGATATGGATCCTGCGGAAGAGAGCAAGAGAGGCGATTTCTGCGGCTGTCACCAATTCATAACACCGAAAAAATGCATTTCCCAGCTGTATGAAGTCAGCTCTAATGGCCTGAGTACTGCTTATAGAGACATCACTCAAGCAGCGCGAATTAGAGTCATTCTAACACATTCATGACAATACGACCTATCAGGGGGTCGTACGCGGACACATTGCACACCCAGGCAGGCAGAACAGAATCGGAACGTACAGATAGAACTATAGCGAACGAAAACTCCACGACTAGCTTAAAAAACCGCATCCATGCAAAAAAATCCAAAAAATCCATGCATAATACAGGTCCTAGGTGTCCTCGGAAAGTGTAAACCGGCTCTATTTCAGTCGTACCTCCTGCAGAGGTTCGATAAGAACTCATAGATTGATAATGAACACTGCTAAAAGCACACCCGATTTCTATTTGGTCCCATCAAGATTCCATAGTATTGCTGTTCCATCCTCTCCAGCGGTGATTAGCACTGGTTCAACAGGGTGGAACTAAACAGAAACTGGTTGCATTCGGACCAGGCTAACACGAATTGAAGAAGAAGACTCAAGTGATATTTTTTACGGAACTGATAAGGGAAGAACGAACCTGCATAGCTCTAATTGAATCAAGATGTGAACGTAAAGTCATCTTTACATTCCACTTTGCTGTCCTTAGCGATTCTTCATCATCCTGAAAAACGAAAAGAAATTCGTAAAAGCGCGCAGTAAGAAACTTTTACAAAAGGGTCTTCATCACAGCTTGACCCACTATAAAGCAAATATGTTAGTCAAAGAGTAGTTTTACTAGGATAACTTTCAGACCAAGATAAGCAAAGGTCAAATAACAAGGCAATAAGCAAGTGAAGAGACAAAAATCACTGCGCAATACTTGCCTCCACTATGAAGTCATCTTTGATATCGATATTATCGTCCGGCACTACCTCCAGATGACTGCTCGTGAAGAAATTCGTCAAATTTCTCTAGTATTATACATCAGCAGCCTCCGAATCAGGACCTCCTCGAGGGGCATTGCGCTCATCGGACTCGGAGTCGCTGGAAAAAGAAAGTATGGAAAAAATAATAGGAAGAATGAACGTGGTGAGCTGGCGGCAGGGACGAAACAGTCGAACGACCGAGTCGAAAAATGCATTTTGGCGCGTTTCGCAATCCCGTGCAGAAACACTGCCACGAGATGCGTA